GTGGTTGCTACTTTCCCCTTCCTATTCAAGCAGGAGATATAACATACTCTTCTTGATACAAACTTGGAATCCGTCACTTTGGTCAGTAATCAATAATTGAATCGGAAAAAGCTGACGAGATCAGGGAACACCAAGCCCGTCCTCCCGTGCCGCCGTGCGGTAAAGAATAAAACAAATAATCCTTACCTTGCAATCAGTCAGCATATCCAGCAACACATTGAGAACCCTGCCGTCACTGCCCCCCGGTTCCCCTTAGACGAATCCGAACTTCCGACAAGAGCCAAACCCGGAATGGAGGAGGAAAGAGACACTGTAGTGGTGAACTTGGGACGGGTAGGGACGTGATCCGATCCCCCTTCCACTCCCCTTCCTCTTCCCCACCCCGCAAACATTCCAAGATACGGATGGGCACTGCCTGCCGAGCGGAGGATCGACTCGGTGACCGGGGTTAGGACGATGGCACTAAGCCAGAAACTTCCCCTCCCGTCCGTCTCCCCACGGCCTTATTTTACGGATACCGTCAACCACACGAGGTCGTCGTCAAGGGCCAAGGGGGGGGGGGGGGGGCCGATGACGACCAACAATCTGTTGCCAATGCTCCTTCCACGGGTGACTTTCTCGATCCGAACGGCGGCAGCGGCGTCTCGGGTATCTCACACGATCAGGAAAACAAACAATGAGCAAACATTGGGGCTCGGAGGATCATTCGCCTGCAGAATCTTGCAAGGAGGGTGTGATACGACGGCAGAGGCCAGATCCTCCATCTCTTCACAAAGAAACGTAATATCGCGTCCCCTCTAAATATTCTCTCCGGTCCCAGCATCTTGCAGTGTTTGTGCGGCCAAATTTCATCATCGCGTTGCCGGTTCTTAGAGGTCCGGCAGAAGCCGCGATTTTGTCTTGGTGGTGGAGGAAAGAATCGAGACATGACAAGCCGGCATGACCTGCATGACGGCCGAAGCAAGGCGCAAAAAGTAAAAGGCACTTTCAAGTCGGCGTGGGTGACTGACTGGCCTGCGCTCCTCCGAACCATCGCCCATGTCTGAGCCCAATTTGCCATCCTTCCACGAAATGAGTGTCAGTCGCCAATCGGTCTCATTGTCTAGGTTGAAACGGGCACCAAGGGAGTCTACTTTGATGAAGCTACGCAGCCGAAATCGTTTGATTCGTGAGGGCAGAAAGGCTGGTGCGAAATGGGAACAACTTTCGAGATTCGAATACGCCTGTAACGCCTTGCTTGCTGCAGGCTGCAGTAACAAGCCGATGTTTGCCTTTTGGTCCTGGTCTGCCGCTGCAAGATCCGATCTCCGCCCCAGCCAACCTGCAACCTTTGCCCTTGACAGCCCGGACTTTGCTTACCGCCACTTCGGACGACGGAGATCCCAAAGGATCCAGTCACATCGGCTGTCCTTTTGCAGAAAAGATGGCTGCTCGATCCTTGACTTCAGATTCCGGTCACCGCTCGGCGCTCACAAGAGCAGGCACTTCGTTCTAAGCTTTACACTACCCGCCCGCCTCTGAGCCTGACTTGCTGGATTGGTTGCTCTATGCAAGTCCGAAAGTTCGGACCAGCGGCCGCGGACGAAATTGTCAGGAGAACCGGGATGAGGAGCAGGTCGGCGGAAATGTGGAGGCTTTCATCACCACAGCTTCAGCCTCAACTCTTTTTACGACCTCACAGGAGAAGTCTTCCTCGCCATGGATATGAACCGCTAAGAGGCTGCAAAAGAAACCAGAAGAGGGTCCCTTGCAAATCTCAGAGTCGAGTTCGTCTCGTCATGTGCGAGAAAAAGCGGCACGGTCTTATCCCACCCACCCCACGACATTGCTTTTTCCTCGTCGGCACTAGCAGGGAACGAGCATGTTAGTCCTCGGTTCTGGGCCAAACACGCTTCGCCTTCTGGATGTGATTTCCATAGGTGTTCTTCTGCTTGTTCTGTGGGTGTTCACCGTTGGTTGTTGCCGCCAGCAGCAAGGCCTCGTGGCTCGACCGGGTTGCGATCTCTCGGAATGCCGTCAACGGGCAACGGCAGGCAGCCTCTCTGGGTGGTTATTCGTTAGCACTATTTCGAAAGCACCAAGAAAGACACACTTGGATAGAAGATATGAGATTCGCACAACCTCGGAGATGGCAACGACAGCATGCCCTGCGTATCGAAATTGGTCTCAGGTACCCGCCACGCCACGTCGGGTTACTTGACACTGCTGCCCGCGCCAACACTCCAGATCACGCCAGCCACAGACTATCGTGAGATGCAGGCCACACACTTTCTAATCCGAACCCGGCTAGGTTCTGTTTCGTCTCCAAGTAAGTGATTCTCAACAAAAAAGGAATGTCAGGTCCCGCTTCGCTGGCTGTGGACGAACCGCTTTCTTTCGTTCCCTAAACTGCAGATATCCTCTGCTTAGAATCCAACACCACGTTTGTCAAGTCGGTTCGAATGCTTCGTCTCAGAAGTGCTTTGGATCCTTGATCCTGGGATACCGAGACTTCCAGAAGTCAGCTGGCCAGTCAACGCTCAGAATACACCTCCGACGTGGTGGGTGGTGGGCATCGGGATGTCTGCCAAAGTGAGTGCTGAGTGCGTCGCGGTTGCCGGCAGCCATTGGCCCCCGTCGAACACACACCTACATGATGAGGATCGATCTCAGACTCAGGCACATCAGGTCACCCGCTAGGCCTCAGACTGGCCGCTTCAAAAAAGAGAGACATCAGGCAGCCTGACTTTTTTCTAAACCCTCGGCCGGACGGCCTCTCCTGCTCGACGCTAACCCTGTCTCAGAGATCAGTGGGAAGAAAAGAAACAAGTTGAGTGGATCAGCACTCTATGACAACCACGCTTGGCTGCAGGGCAAGGATAGCGGACTGCACAGAAACCGAAAGAGCAGCCTCCATAAAGACGAGCAGAGATCCCTCTCAGCCGCCGTAGAATCGCCCCTATTTTCTTTCGAAATGACAATCAGATAGATTTCCTCCCCTTATCCGACGACTTTTTCGTGGTTGGATCGTTACTCTGGTATTCTTAGGACAAACGGACGGTGCATGACGGTTGCATTTTGATATCGGAGTTTCCTTGTCGGTTTGGGTACTTGCAGCTTCGTCTTTGGAGGTATTCGTTGAGGAACCGGTCCAACGCAGTCACTTCGTTGCGTATTCCCCTACAGACATCGATATCGTCGGCCAGTGGCAGCTTGAAGGCGTTGGTTCTGGACGATCCAAAGGACAGCTTGGGCTGGAATTCTAATTACACGGTATGGTCAGCCCTATAAATTCGCACTGCTGAGAGATACTGATACAACTTGCAGACTCTCTCAAATATCGACGTTATTCTTGGAGACGAGTTTCTAAACGCTATCAACATCTTTGGTTGATTGAGACTAGGAACAGCGAACCAGGCAGCCGAAGGAAGACTACTCACAGATTCAAAGAAGGGACCAGCTCCCCATCTTCGCTCCCAGCAAGTCATTTAGTAGCTACCGAGTATTGTTCTCGAAAGTAGACAGGTTCGACTACCTTTCGCAAAGCAGGAACATCATTCAGGCTTGTGCGGTGCTTTCGATTGACGAAGGAAGAGGGAGTTGACATCGTCTACCGGTCATCACCGCGGCTTGCTCGAGGCAATCTTTCCTCTGGAGATCATCGTCGACTGTTTGCCTCTGCTGTGTGGTTTCCTTCCTCAATCCGGGGAAGAACATTGTCAGATCAACAACTTTTGGAAGCCTTGAGACCTCGAGCAGAAGGAGGAAGTAGTAAGAAGTAGAAGGAAAGGAGGCTTGTCCCAACGGCTGGGCATCTTCCAGTCACACTTCCAGGTAGGTACGTCCCCTTTCTTCCTAGGGTACCCGAACCCCGTCAACCCTTATCGACAAGATGTTCCAAGCTGGAAGGAAGGAATGAATTCTACCCCTATACTACGGGGAGGTTGCTAACAATGGGAAACTAGTACGGCACATCTTCTGGTACTGGCAGCTGATACCCACCGGGCCTTTCCTCCCGGTCCGAACTGACGGGGCCACCTCTTTGCCCCCGGGTACCTTCACCTTCTCTGCTTACATCGTCACTGGCCTTGTTCTTCCTCTCAAGTACATCTTCTCTTTCCCACATCCAGACGCCTTTTCAACCTCTCCTTCCAGCCTTCAACAGATCCAACAAACCTGGGCTGCAAAGGAAGGCAAAGGAAAGCAAAGCATCCTTAGGTACGTCTCGTCATCTACTCGTCCTTTATCTTCTGCCAATGCCCCAAGTTGTCTTTCGTTTCCTCCATCTTCTTCTCTCTTTTCTCTTGACCACAGCATCACCACCACACTTCTTCAACCCACCACACGGTCTCTTTGACTCCGACTGCTCCCGATAGCTTGTTCCATCTTTTTACTGATCACTCGCTTCTTCACAGAGTCTTTGGTAACAACATTTCCCATTGTTGACGTTGTTCGAGTCTACGTCTGGTTCCAAGCCTCTGTTCATATTCAGACGACAAAGGTAATGGAAGTTTGGGCTTTACCGCCACACTCCACGCAAACCACCCCATATCCCACTTGTCTTTGACAGCATCACATTCTTCCCTCTCCAATAATGTCACCCATTGGCGGTGTGACCATTTGGTTGCATGCATCCAGTTTGGTGGAAGTCATTCCGGTCTTGCAGATTTCCTGGCCATTTCCCTCTGCTCTGCCAGCCTGTCCACATTCAGGAAGATTTCCCCCCGCTGTCCATCACAAATCATTACTTACGCAAAATTGATTCGCTGACCATTGCACAGTCCCAATTCGCGGCAATCCCGGTTCAACTCTTCTTCTCAACCCTTGGAACCCACTGACATCGTTCCTGTAAGTACGATATCGCGTCCTCCCAAAACGCGGACTTCGCGTCGACTTCCCAGCGCGGCACTCGCCCCAGTGCCTTGCGGCTTCTTCTTGACACAGGCGAAAGCTTTTGACACCCTTCTGACTTATTGATGATCAAGACTTCGGACTTGACTATGTCTTATCAGACGCCCACCATGGATCCCAAGCACTCCGTCGCCTATGCTGGACCCGGCAATCACGCCAGCCAGTTCCCTGAGAACCAGATGCCCAACATGATGGGCAGCGTTGACGCTTTGAATGGTGCTATCGGTCAGTTTCAAAACATGACCTTGGGCAACGGCATGTCCCACAACGTTGGCGGTATGGGACAAATGGCTACCGGCCATCCGTACATGATTCCCCAGGACTACATTCTGGCTCCTCATCTGCCTTCTGCCCTCGGTATGGACCACCTCTCCCAGGGTCCGTACGGACCAAGTGGCTACTTGGCTGCTCCTGGACAGTTCAGTCCCTACGTCCCCTACCCCATGATGCCCTTCACCCCCGGTCGCGCTGTGAGTGGCAACTCGGCTCTCCAGGACCGCACCAACCGCGGCCACAACGACGTGCCAGGTCTTGAGAATCGTCGTCACAGTGGCGGTTCTTACACCACCACCGAATCTGCCCCTACGACCCCTTTCTACAGCGGCGCCGGTAAGAATGACAAGGGCCCCCGCGTTGCTGCCCTTGATCGTTCAACCTACACCACGCCTTCTCCCCAGCAGCTTGTCGGCGGCAACATCTTTGTCGAACCTGCTGCCAAGCACGGCGTCATCACGATCCCAGTCGACCGCAACTTGGAGGAGATCCTCAAGCAGGACCCTCCCGTCCCCAAGGCCGTTCCTGCCGTCTTCACCCCTGCCACCCAGATGAAGACCCTGGATCAGAGTTTGGAGAATAGGATCCCGGGCAACCGCAATGTTTACATTCGCGGTCTTCATCCGACTACTGATGATGAGCTCTTGTACCGCTTCGCTTCCCGATTTGGCGAGGTGGAGACATCCAAAGCCATCATTGACACGTCCACTGGTGCTTGCAAAGGGTATGTTGATTCAGGTCTGCTTTTCTTTTACTCTTCGCTGACGATCAAGCAGGTTTGGCTTTGCCAAATTCTTCGACGTCCGCGACTCGGAGATGTGCATCCGGGGCTTCCATCGTCTCGGATACGAGGTTGGCTTTGCTCGCGTATGTTCTGATCTGCAACTACCCAGTGTTCAGCCTCCAATGACTGACGTGTTTTTCAGGAATCTTTCAACTCTCGCCTCAAGGCCGAGGGCGATGAGGGTTCGACCAACCTCTACATCTCCAACCTCCCCAAGAGCCTGACAGAGAATGTGAGTTTGCACTTGACATACTCTGGGCTGTTGATTTGCTTAATACTAACAGCTCCAGGATCTCGGCGATATTTTCAGAGGCTACCACATTATGTCGTCCAAGATCCTGCGTGATAGCATGGGCAACAGCCGTGGTGTTGGCTTCGCTCGGTATGTGACTTCTGACCACTCTCCAATGCTGTATTCTAATTGGCCCAGTTTCGAATCCCGCGATGTTTGCGATGCCGTCATTAAGCAGTTCAACGGCATCCCCATCGGCGAGGAGGGCATGGTGATGAACATTCGCTATGCCGACACTGCTGGTCAAAAGGAACTCAAGCGGGTCACTGCTGAGCGCCGCCAGTTCCGTACCAACGAGTACAACATCGGCGCCTACGGTACTCCCTTGGTTGGCATCCAGCCCAACATGTACAACCAGCCGGCCTGGAAGCGTGCTCTGCATTCCACACCGAACAGGTGAGCACCCGTCACTCTGGTCATCTCTGATTACAGCCGCTGACCACACTCATCAGCTACGCCCCTCGTTCCATGACTGGCGGTCTCGATCGAATGGGCAAGGGGGTCAAGTCTGATGACTACCAGGCGGGCACTGTTCAGGGAAATACCCAGTACGGTGACCATTCTCGCCATTGGAGCATTCTTCTTGACTAACCTGCTTGTTCAGATCACCCGCGGAGACTACCGTTGCCGAGATCTCGTCCGACGACAGTGACGAAGGCGTGACTATCCACGCCGACTCGACCACGCCCATCATTGTCAGCACCCAGTCGTCCCCGATTTGCAAGAAGGAGAAAAAGTGAATTTGAGTTTTGAGGGAATAGGAGCGCCAGCGTATTTTCCGGGTGCATCATTCCTCGTCTTGTCCGCCAGATTTCGGCGTTTCTGCGTTTCAGCACACATGGCAGTATGGTTTTGATCAGGGAACATATTATGCTCTGAGGTAGCTCATACTCTTGATGCGTTCTGTATGAAAGGCGCCAGCTATTAGTTCTTGTACCTTAGTTTTTGGGAGGCAGATCAAAATCGGGACGGCGTAACGCTTTTTTTTTTTTGCCACAAAATCATGAAGTCGGGAATTGTAACATGAAATTTCCAATCACAGAGAATCCATGTCCGCAGTAAATGATTGTGTATCGACATGCGACAGAAGCATTTCTGGAAGTAGTAAAGTGTCTATTGTTCGATTCCTCAGTGGCTCAGGCCTCTTCTGCCACGGTCAACTTTGAGAATTTTTGGGTATCAACTTCATCCTCTGCTCTTCCACCTGTCTGCGCTTCTTTTCCATCTCCATTTGCGGTTGGTACGCTTGCATTCTCCGCGTCTGGCGCCTCATCGCCCGACTCTTCCTCCTCTTCGTCGTCTTCCTCGGAACCGTACTCTTCGTCGTCGTCTTCGCCCACGAATTCACCCTCATCATTCTTGGAAGAGGCCTGTTCCTGAATGGCCTTCTCCAAATCCTTGGCCATCTTCTTCGTGAAGCCAGATGCCGTCAAGGTTGCATCTATTCTTGTGGCACCGCCCTTGCCAACCAACTTCTTTGCGTCCTTGTAGAACGGTCCTGGTGTCGTGGGGGTGAACTTGAACCTCTTTTCGAAAAAGCGTTTGATGCAGTTGACATCCCTGTCAAAGTACATTTCTGCGTTCTCATGATCCATCGACACCATTTGAGGGAAGTCGATGACAATTGGTATCAATTTGATGGACTCCTCATCCCCTTCTTCCGTTGTGACGGATACTTCTTCCTTGATGAGGATATTGAACTCGTTGTAGTCGCCGTGGATAAGTCCATGCTTAGCCAAGCGGAGAAGCAGATCGATCAGCTCAGAGTAGAGCAGCGCAGGGTCTGGGACGTTGGATATTTGGCGGAGAGGGAACGAATCGATGAAGGACATGACAATGGTGTGTCGGTTCTGAGCGATAGGTTCGGGCACCGGAAATCCTTCATCCTTCAGGGCCTTCATGAAAGCGAACTCCTTCATTGCGGCGAGCCTGGAAAGATACATCCAGGATCCTGACTGCTTGTTCTTGAGGTAGTCTCGGTTCGATTTGACTGTCCGGAAAGAGATACGACCGAGTCTGTGGATCTTGAGAATGCACTGCACGCCTCTGTCGTCGGCAACCATAACAATATCGCTCTCCTTGCCGACTCCGACTCTACTGCCAACGCTGTAGACTTCCTTGCGCGTCGAGTATTGGTGCATCGCGAGGTAATCAAGACCGCCGTAGGTGAGGCGGTATCCATCGTACTTGGCTTCCTTGACCTTGGCGATGAGGCCAACCTTGGCGAGGTTGGAGATGGAACGGTGAACTCCGTTGGCGCCGCCACGGAGGCGTGATAGTTTCTCGATCAGTGACGTCGGGACCAGCTCATGGTTCTTGGTGCCTTGTTCAACCTAGAGATCCTGTAAGTGGACTGCCTGGAGGGGTTATGGAGGGGTAGGGTCAGGGAGACGAACTGCTGCGAGGACCTTCCAGTCCTCGGCGGCCAGGTGCCGCAGTGCCTTGGTATCCAAATGCATCTAGGAAGTTGTGCGATCGCAACGAAATGTATTTGGTAAAATTGGTCTAGAGTTGGAATTCTTCCTCCAGATCTCAAGGTACTGAATTGGGAGCCCAAGAACCCCTCCATTGGAAAAAAAGCAGCCGGGGTTTGGATGTGTGCTATCGATAAAAGAGATAAGATAAGATATGTCGGGACGGGGTCATCGACTCCGGCAGTCACGTGGCAGGCTGAACACCCCAAGCCCAGGTGTGTCTGTGCGGCAGGCAGGCCAGGCTCGTACGCAACCGGGGAGCTTCGACTTGTTGCTTAGCTTTACAAAGCTACCATCACCTTCCATCTCCCTCACGAATAACTACCATCCACCACCCTATCCTTTTCTCAACCGCACACCATCGATCCGACGTCCACTCCTCGGCGAATTGCACAGATATACGCGCCGATTCTTGACCAAACTCCCGAGGACGTACCCCACCCATACAGAGTCCACAAACACGTCAAGATGGCGCAGGACAGCGAGAAGCCTACCGCTGCCGACAAGGGCAAGGGGAAGGCCGTGGAGGATAGCAAGAAGGAGAAGTCCCAGGTGAATGGCAAGAAGGACGATGAGAAGATTGTCGATTGTGAGCGATATGGATTGTCTTGCGGTATTGATGAGGGGCTAACTGTTTATAGCTGCGGAGGAGCTCAGCGAAGAGGACCAACAGCTGAAGAACGAGCTGGATATGCTCGTCGAGCGCCTTACGGTGCGTTGCGTGATTGAAACTCCGGCACCGTGTGCATAATGCTGACGTTGTCTCTAGGAGTCCGATGCCTCTCTCTACAAGCCGGCCCTTGAGGCCATGAAGAACTTCATCAAAACGTCAACCTCGTCAATGACGGCTGTGCCTAAACCACTGAAGTTCCTGAGACCACACTACGAGACGATGACAAAATTGTTCGAGGATTGGGCGACGGGAGAGAACAAGACGTCACTCGCAGATGTTTTGTCAGTGATTGGTATGACGTATTCCGACGAGGACCGACAAGACACTCTCAAGTACCGCCTACTTGCACCGTCATCCGACATTGGATCATGGGGCCACGAGTACACCCGGCATCTGGCTTTGGAGATTGGCGAGGTGTACGGAAAGAGGATAAACGCCGACGAGCCGACAAAGGATCTGGTCGATCTTGCCTTGATTCTCATCCCGCTCTTCTTGCAGAGCAACGCCGAGGCAGATGCTGTGGACTTGATGAGTGAGCTCGAGATCATCGATCAGATCCCTAACCACCTCGACAAGGACACATACGGCCGCGTCTGCCTTTACATGGTCAGCATGGTCAACTTGCTGACTTACCCCGACAACGAGCTCTTCCTCAAGACCGCCCACGACATTTATCTGACATACAAGGAGTACGCCCTGGCAATGACCCTTGCCATTCGCCTTAACGACGTCGAACTCATCAAGGCCGACTTCGAGAAGGCCGAAGACCCCGCATTGAAGAAGCAGCTCGCTTTCCTCATCGCACGGCAACGCATTGTCTTGGATCTTCCCGCAGAGGACGCGGACTCCCAGGCCGTCGTGGAGTGCCTGTCGAATCTTAAGCTGTCCGACCACTTCAAGTCCCTGGGCAAGGAGCTCAACATTCTGGACCCCAAGACTACAGAAGATATCTACAAGAGCCACCTTGAGAGCAGCCGCGTTGCTGGCATGACCAACCTTGATTCAGCTCGCCACAACCTGGCAGCCGCTTTCGTCAACGCCTTTGTAAACGCCGGCTTCGGTAACGACAAGATGATGCTGGTTGAGCAGGACAAGGAAAGCTGGGTATGGAAGACCAAAGGCGACGGCATGATGTCGACTGTGGCTTCTCTGGGTACTCTGTTGCTGTGGGATGTTGAGGCTGGCTTGGACAAGATCGACAAGTACACCTACGCCGCGGAACCCGAGATCTTGGCTGGCTCGATGCTTGCCATTGGTATCATGAACTCGGGAGCGCGTGTTGACTCTGAGCCCGCTTTGGCTCTGTTGGGTGACGAGGACAAGCTGCACCACAAGAACCCTCTTGTCCGAACCGCCAGCATCATGGGCTTGGGTCTCTCCTACGCCGGCTCAAACAACGACTTGACCTTGGAGCTCCTCCTGCCCATTATCACTGACTCTTCCCAAGACATGCAAATTTCCGCCATGGCTGCCCTGGCCTGTGGTCTGATCTTTGTTGGCTCCTCCAACCCCGAAATCAGTGAGGCTATCGTCACAACACTGCTGGACGACGACCGCAAGAGCCAGCTTACAGACAAGTGGACTCGTTTCCTGGCACTTGGTCTCGGCCTGCTCTTCTTTGGCCGTCAGGAAGAGGTCGACGTCATCCTTGAGACCCTCAAGGCTGTTGACCATCCGATGGCGAAGCCGACGGCTGTGCTGGCCGAGATCTGCGCTTGGGCAGGTACCGGTGCTGTCCTCAAGATTCAGGAGTTGCTCCACATTTGCAACGAGCATATTGAGGATTCAGACGAGAAGAAGGGTGACGAGCTCCTCCAGTCATATGCAGTGATTGGTATCGCACTCGTTGCCATGGGCGAAGATGTGGGCCAGGAGATGGTTCTTCGGCAATTCGGCCATCTTATGCACTATGGCGAGCCCAACATCAGGAGAGCAGTTCCTCTGGCCATGGGTCTGATCAGTCCCAGCAACCCCCAGATGAAGGTCTACGACACGCTCTCTAGATACTCTCACGACAACGACAACGACGTGGCTATCAATGCCATCTTCGCCATGGGTCTCTTGGGTGCGGGTACGAACAACGCCAGACTTGCTCAGCTTCTGAGACAGTTGGCCAGCTTCTACCACCGCGACCAGGAGTCTCTTTTCATGGTACGCATTGCTCAAGGTCTTTTGCACATGGGCAAGGGCACCATGTCGGTCAACCCCTTCCACACTGACCGCAACGTTCTCTCGCGCGTGTCTACGGGTGGCCTGCTCGCAGTCTTGGTCGCCATGATCGATGCCAAGTCATTCATCACATCTAACTCACACTACCTGCTCTACTTCCTAGTGACGGCAATGCACCCCCGTTTCTTGGTGACATTGGACGAGGACCTCAAGCCATTGAAGGTCAACGTCCGCGTTGGTCAGGCGGTGGATGTTGTCGGCCAGGCGGGTCGGCCCAAGACTATCACCGGCTGGCAAACACAGAGCACGCCGGTTGTCTTGGCGTACGGTGAGCGTGCGGAGCTTGAGGATGAGCAGTACATCAGCTTGAACAGCACACTAGAGGGATTGGTGATTCTCAAGAAGGTACGTTTGAAGACACGAGACTAATGTGAAGGTGTGCAGTGCTAACTCGTTACAGAACCCCGACTGGGTAGAGGAGAAATAGATGACTTCAGGGTGTTTGGGGGGACCTGGGATCGTAGGTTCAGGCATGGAACTGGGACACGATACACTGTATAGTAATCTTACGTCTGTGAGTGGCATTCGGAATGTCATCAGACAGATGAGATCCCACATGAATAGACGGATCAGCTGCAATGAAGAGGCGTTTTAACGGTTACATGATTTCGAAAGTGACGACAATCTTGAATGCATGTAAATTTTGTGAGACTCCTAGCCAACATTTGATGATATCTGCTAGTGGGGCTGCGGCGGCGAGTTGAACTTTGATCTCGGTCAAACGAAGGCGGCTGAGTGGTGAGGTGGGTAGGCTTGTGTATTCGTAGATGCTGACCAAACGACTCCGCTTGCCTCATGCAGCAACTTTTGCCGGTGCGAACCAATAGCCTTCGTTTCCTGGGTGAGATCTGGGATTGGGTTTCCAACTCGATCCGAGATGCGATGAGATTATAGTATCAAGTAATCAGTACTGAATGTAGCCGAAGCCACCCTCTTAGATGTTGGGAATTAAAGACAACGTGTATCCAGATGCGCATGGGGGATATATCTTTGTTTTGCCCATGGACGAAAGAAAGGTCTTGCTTGTACGTAATACACGTCACGCTGGTTGCACGGTGGGATATTGTCTGTAAAGCGATACGGGCACAGCGGGGAAGTGGACGGGACGGGATAGATAGGGGACAGGCGCATGCCTAGGGGTAAGGTAGCTAGCTGGTAAATGGGTCTAAAGGCTAAACCAGGCTGAGTAGAGCTGACCGCGGTGCCGCGCTGTAACCCTGTTCGATAGCTTTCTGCGTAACGCAAAAGGACTGGCAAGACTGGGAGATTCGGAGAGTACATAAAGGAGTGGAGGGGCAAAAGTGCTAGCGCTGGTGGAGGTTGGGGGATGGATTGTGGAAGTGGAGGGGATTGCAATGGGCCGGGCAGAAAAAAACGGATGTTCTGGGCTGGGGATATCGTGAGCCAGAGCCGTTAATATTACTCCGTACGCATTCAGGTGGATAGATATAGTGTTGGCACATGAGGCTTGGAGTTCAAGGTTGGCAGTAACTACTAAAAGCATGCAAAGACAGAATATTGAAATTCAAGATTATGCGTCTGTGAGTGTGCGTAGGAGTAAGGGTGCGGCAGAATGTTACACGATGGGATTGCGTGTGTTGATTGTTTGGGGTCCGTTGGTCGGATGTTATTGTTGATGGATAGATTCCGGGGTCCCGGTCACGACGGCGGAGCCCGGGGAGGCGGCCGACGGGCCCCCTTCCTACGTTCGGCGGGATGCGTCGCATCTGGGCTCGTCTGTGTCTCGTCTTTGCTTATCAGGTCCGGGATGGGATGTAAGTAAGGTACCTTGGGTATACTGAGTGTCGATGACAAAACTGGAGTACGAGGTAGGTTCCTTATTAGATGGGTGAACGAAATTGGAAGTAGCTCCCACCCGCCAGAAAGGTTCCAAACGGCGGGAAACCTGCCAAAACATAAAAGTTGATTGGATCTGCAAAGAGATGGCAGGAAGGATGCGGGATGCCAAGCCTTGAAAAGGCAAGATGCTACGGCGATTGGCGGGCGGCGGTTCGCTTACAACGTGCCGTGGTGGGATGAAAGAAAGCACTGAGGTGGGAAGGCACGACTTGGAAGTTTTATGCCATACTGGTGCGGCTGCTAGGTACTTGCCTAGTGAGATGGATGGCAAATGACAACGGGAAACAAGAATGTCAGACCTGCAAGGCAAGTGAAGCTAAGTCCCCAGGGTACCTGCCTTCGGATATCAGTCAGTTACCTTTGGGAAAGTACGGATACAAGTGCAAAGGGCGCCACTGCCATGCGAGGCGGTGGATCGCGCAATTACTAGGTGGATATCCAGGCGAATCTAGCCGCTTCGCGCTTCGCGGGCAACAACGGGGAGACCCTGGAAAGCAAGAGCGAGACTGGCTGACTGTGGACTGGGAATTCCTCTATCTCTCTCCCGTACGGATACTTCTTTCCCATCCATGCTTGTTTTCCATGGATGCGCTATCCGTACTTCGTTACTTCGCACGCGTTCCCTGGCAGTGGCACCGTACTCCGTAGCCCAAGATGGTCTTATTCCCCAGCTTTTGCCTCGGGAAGTGCGCGCAGCCACACCCAGCTCTAGTCCAGGTTCTCAGCAAAGGGCGCGGGTGACGCTTCCGACTTCCTATCTATACCTTGGACTAATACCTTCCTCGTCACCCCTCCACCGCCCATGTTCATGCCCTCCTCCTCCTCTTCTTCTCCTTCTGCTTCTTCCTCCTTTCTTCTCCCCGAGCTTTCTCCTATCTGAAAGCTCTTTCTTTTTCTTTTAAAAGAACTTGCGATCAGGGGAAGGAACCCGAATCGTACGAGAAGACCATTCGAACATTGGCAACCGTTCCCGCGCAACAAACTACATTGGCCCTCGCTTCTCCAACATCTCTCTTGGAGAAGCGCAAATCGGACGTTGGAGTTTCGGAGGCACGCAAAAGTACCTAGCCCATCGCACACCGACACCGGCCTGAGCAATCCTTCGTCGCATTCGACTGCGCGACGTCGTCTTACCTGAGATCCCCCCTTCGAAGCACCTAAACACGTGCAGATTATTAGTTGGAGTCACCCAGCGGATTGCGCGACTCGCATTGAGATCAAGGCGAGAAGACGACGTTATAGTACGGCGGAAAACAAGGTGTAACTGACCTCTACATCTTTACACCTACACACCAAAGTCGGTCAGCAACAACTACGCCATGGGGGACGACCGCAGTATTCCCATCAAGGCGGCTTCTTCGAGCCGCGACTTTGTCGCCCAGCTCAGCTCGTCTTTCATGACGGGAACGCCGCCCGCACAAGAGCTCCTGGCAAGAGATTTGGCAGAATGCTCAGAGGATGAATACGTCGACGAAAATGAGGATGCTATTGGCTCCGACGACGAGGACGTGTCCGCCGAGGGCCCTCTCTTTTACCGCCGCCCGAGCGGTGTCGCATTCGGCACCTCCCGCCCCGTCATGAACCCGCAACCGATATACGCAGCCGAAGAGCCACCAGTCCTCACTAGAGTCGAAAAGAAGCAGTCGCGCGATGCCGAGCTGAGTCTGTTGCGTGATAATCATCTTTTGCCTCCCAAGCATGCCCGAGAGGAAAACGAGTCATTCTATCGCCGTGCCTACAGACGCCTCTTCAGCACAAAGGTTCCACTCGAGCCTCACGATGAAGAGGCACCCCAGGCTATCGTTCGTCGACCGTCTGAATCGACCCCTCTATTATCCGGAGCTCCAGCGCCAGATGCTGATGGTCATGGGACCCTCAATGAGCAGTGGGAAGCGGCAGTCTCGACGGGCCAACTTCGCACTACTTGGCAGCGCGAGGCCAAGACCATCATCCAGTATGCCAGTCCGCTTATTGTTACCTTCATGCTGCAGTACTCGGTCAATGTCGTTTCCATCTTTGCCGTAGGACACATTGGAAAGATAGAACTCGGCGCCGTGAGCTTGGCAACCATGACAGCGACCATCACCGTCTACGCGCCCTTCCAGGGTCTCGCGACGAGTCTCGATACCCTCTGTGCGCAGGCGTACGGCTCCGGACACCGCCATCTCGTCGGACTGCAATTCCAGCGCATGACATATTTCTTGCTCATGTGTTTCGTCCCGCTGGCGGTGTTGTGGTTCTTCAGTGAATCGGTACTGCGGCTCGTCATCCCGGAACCGGAGTCTGCGCGGCTGGCCGGCCAGTATCTGCGCATGTTGATCCTGAGCGGACCGGCCTTCGTCTTCTTCGAGGGCGGGAAGCGGTTTGTGCAGGCGCAGGGTCTGTTTCAGGCCACTACTTGGGTCCTCTTAGTCGCTGCGCCCATCAACATCCTGTTGAACTGGCTGTTTGTCTGGAGGTTGGGATGGGGTTTCATCGGAGCTCCTGCTGCGGTTGTCTGCACTCAGAACTTGCTTCCGCTGCTGCTGTTCCTTTACGTGCGCTTCATCGACGGATACCAGTGCTGGGGCGGTTTCAGCAAACGAGCTCTGTCAAATTGGGGCCCGATGCTTCGCTTGGCTTTGCCCGGCATGATCATGATTGAGGCCGAGTACATGGCTTTTGAGATCCTGACTCTGTTCTCGAGCCAGTTTGGTCCGGAGTACCTGGCGGCCCAGAGCGTAGTGGTCACCCTGTGTGCTATTACCTACCAGATCCCATTCCCCGTCAGTATCGCGGCGTCCACCCGAATCGCTAACCTCATCGGTGCCGGGTTGGTGGATGCGGCAAAGATTACCGGCGGAGTGGTAAGTTTATTAGCTCCCCCTCCATTACATGCTCTAGGAAAACCTGGTTTACAAAAACATGTTCTGACTGTGTTCGACAGGCATTCGCAGCAGCTCTGATTGTGGGCGTGTTCAACGTCATTCTCTTTGGCAGCTTGAGGTTCCACCTGCCACGACTCTTTACCAACGATGAAGAGGTCATTGCCATTGTGGCCAACGTGCTTCCGCTGTGTGCGCTGATGCAGGTCTTTGACGGCTTATCCGCGGGAGCCCACGGTTTGCTGCGTGGCATTGGCCGCCCTTCCATTGGCGGCTATGCGAACTTGACGGTGTACTACCTCATTGCGATGCCAATCTCCTTTGGGACCGCGTTTGGTCTTGATTGGAAGCTCAAGGGGTTGTGGCTGGGCGTCACGATTGGACTTGCCTTGTAAGTGTCCCCGCCTCCTGTCTGGCTTTCTACTCCATCTCTTCCCTCCGACTTGCTGTTTCTCCGAACATGGGATGAGAGACGAACAAAGTGTGCATGAGAAGAACTTGGCTGACTCACGTGTCCTATTATAGGGTCGCTATTATCGAGTATTCGTTCGTATACTTCACGGACTGGCACAAGGCGGCCAAAGAGGCGGAGTCGAGAAACCAGGCCGAGTGAAACGGCCTTGGCCCAGGGTTCGTTCACTACTTTTTACTTATCCCCCAGAATTGGTCAGCGGGGTCATGATAATTGTTTGGCTACAAATTGGTCATTTAATGACAGAAGGAAACTATATGTCCGGATATATCCTGATTCGCATCTGGTGGGCCTCGAATTTCTGGCTTGGTCATGATTAGCTAGCAAGCGAGCGAGCATCGCAAAGCACAGCATAACTTTGGAAGTAATTGACGGGAGCGGGAGAAGAAGAGAAGAATGATGCAAAGATGATACGAATGCGGGCTCGACCGTTGCGATGCCATGTCAAAGTGTCTGCGTTGCTCTCGCTCGATGAGACCAACTCAGGTGAGCTGGCGCATCCGTTCCATACCTTCCGGAAGCATGGCGTGTTATCCTGTAACGTCTGTGGGAAATGTCCGCTCAGATGCTGACGGACGTCCGTGATGGTTCGCGACCCGTCAGAACCATTTAGGGCAAGGCAGAGAAGAAGCTTGGAAAAAGTGTCGGTTGAGAACTTCCTCACGAGTCCTGCCTAACAGTCACGATTTCGCATCAGATCCAATTAGAGCGGAGATGTACCTGAGTGATCCTCCTCTAGGCGATGAGGCTGAGAAATCCTTCCACTTCAAGGAGCCCTCAAAGATGGAATGAGAAGCCCGTCTCTCTCCTTGAAAGTTTCCCAGACTCCAAGTGAAACTTTTGAGTTGTGGTGCCAGTGCGGAAGCTCTCTCCGACTCAAGGACCGTCTTGTGGCCTGGGCAGCGCTGAGAACCACACCTCCAAAAGATGAGCTAAGCCAACGAGACAGGGATACGGGAGATTGGCAAATTGGGACCACAGCAAAACCAGTGACAAACATCAATAGTCGGCTCTGTAAGTGTGAATTGGAACTGATTTTAGGTGGCCCGCCGCTCGCTCTGCCATCGGGGGAACGAATGGCGGGTGCAGGGGTGTGAGGGGCACTGGACAATTTCGAACAGTTTCCCGCTTAGGAGGCACGGAGGATTGGAGGGGAAGGGGAAGGGGGAGGGAGACCCCTCCTTTTCTGCGAATCGCTACATTGGTACCAATTTCTCGTCCTTGCGCAACCTCTCACTTTCTCTCCCACTCTCTCGCACATTCGCAACTTCGGACGGGGGAAGTTCCGAACAAACATACTCTTTTGCTCTCGCATACTTGGCCATCGGTTTTTGCGCAACTTTATAAGAAGAGTAATAAACCCCCCTTCCTCGCCCCTTTGTGCGCACGCGCGAAAGCTATCTCTGTAGCTATAGCTAGCTCTACAGAAAAAAAGTTTCGAGATTGGAAAGCTGACACAACACGCGACACCAGACGGAGCATACAACAAAACTTTGCTTACCGCAGCAAACACGAATAGCAAATATGTCTACCATCACTACGACGACGACGACGACGGCCAACGAGGGCATCACGGCCGAGTCAATCCTGCGCCTCTTCCCCGACATCGACACGAGCACCGAGGCCCTCTCCGGTCACGATGCCGAGCAGATTCGGCTCATGGATGAGGTGTGCATTGTGTTGGACGAGAATGACAAGCCTATTGGAAACGCTAGCAAGAAGGCCTGTGAGTAATTTTCCCTCCCCTTCTGGGCCGTCTTTGTGACAAGTCCTCTTGCACGAGTTGCTTGTTGCGGTGACTAGCAAAGCGCTGCCACCTTATGACAAGGACAGAAGGAGAGCGCGCAAGAACGGGGAAAATCCAAGAAAGCCAGCGCCGAATTTGACTGACACAGAAGTCTTCAAACAACAGGCCATCTCATGACCAACATCGACAAGGGCCTCCTCCACCGCGCCTTCTCCGTCTTCCTCTTCGACCCGGAAACCAACCGCCTGCTCCTCCAGCAGCGCGCCACGGAGAAGATTACCTTCCCCGACATGTGGACCAACACGTGCTGCTCCCACCCGCTGGGCATCCCCGGCGAGACGGGCGCGAACCTCGAGGACTCTGTCGCGGGCGTCAAGCGCGCCGCGCAGAGGAAGCTGGAGCACGAGCTCGGCATCGACCCGAAGCAGGTGCCCTTTGACGATTTCCACTTTTTGACGAGAATTCATTACAAGGCGCCCAGCGATGGCAAGTGGGGAGAGCACGAGAGTATGTTTTTGCCCCCTTCTTCTCCTTGTACTATTCCTTCTTCCTCGGGAGTTTGGATACGGAAGAGATGTATTGTCTTTACTAATTTGACAAACAGTCGACTACATCCTCTTCATCAAGGCCAAGGTCGACCTCAAGCCCAACGAGAACGAGGTCCGCGCGACGCAATACGTCAGCGCCGACGAGCTTAAGAAGCTGTTTGAGGACCCCCAGCTTAAGTTCACTCCCTGGTTCAAGCTCATTTGTAACTCGATGCTGTTCCAGTGGTGGGAGAGCCTCGACTCTGGGCTGGAGAAGTACACCAACGAGCAGGAGATTCGTCGCATGTGAGAGAGAAAACGGATGAATGATTTTCTGATGACAAGGAGATCCGGCAGCGTGGGAGGGCCCAATCAATGGTCGGTCGTGAGAAAGCATTAGACGCGGAGTTTTGTCTCTCGTTGCAGTCTGTCTTTCTTCTCTCTCTTCCTCTCTTTCTTTCTCTCTCTCTCTCTTGCATGTGGCGCCAAAAAACAGATACTGTTGAAGTGTTTCCTCCCTTTTTTTTATTTCCAAATTTTCGTAATCCTAGATATCCCCCCTTTTTTATCACATGAATACGACTTGGGGCGTTGGCTGCTGGCCACGTTGAATTGAAAAACTTGTCCCAATAGAAAATGTGTCCGAGTGAAAGATAATGTTGGCAGGAGGACTTGTGAGGAGCAACACGGAGTCTCTGTGGTTAAGAGGGGCCTGGCATACAAGTGCCTGGATCCTAGAAGTGGCCTTCTTTTCAATATGAGACCACCTGATATACCATAAGGATGTCTTGGACAGCGGAGAAAGCTATCTCTTGACTATTGAGCCAGAGGCTGGTAGTCTGAAGGATACTCACCATATAGCCATACCGTCCGGCGGTGGTCTCAAATGCACATGTTGGGCGTGTAGCTTGCTGTAGGGGCTCCGTCTTCAGACACGGTGATTACGGTCGTCACGGCCGCTCGACTGGGGAATAAAATATTGAGTCGAGGGCGTTGGGAGAAGAAGTACACATTGAATGTCGACATGTGTTCATGATTACTTTAACATGAGACTAAGAGAGATTGAGATGAGATGGTTTCAAGAGGTTATTCAAATAAATGAAGAAGATTAATAGTAGTGTTGGCAATCTCAATGTACTTGCCAACAATGAGATGAATATTTAGCATAAGACGACAAACGTTTCCAAGCTTCAAAAACTACAATACTTCATAAACAGTGGCTTCTTAGACCAACACTGCTCATCTCTGGGGGGAATGAGGCTTAATTTTCCGTGCAACTGCCCGTGACAGACGTGGGTAGAAACTTTCTCGCTGCTTCGTTGCCTTTTTCTCGAAGCAAATTTGACGGAAAAGGATGCACATATCACTGGACGAGTATTATATAGCTGTTTTCTGAATTCATTACGCTGTTTTTTGGGAGTTGTTTCTCAACACAAGAAACCTGTGTACTCAACCTGGAAGCAAGGTAAGGTAAGGTAGGTACCGGTACGTCCCGAGCGAGACATATGGCCTGTGTGTGTCTTCGGACTTGCCCAAATTATTACTCGCACCTTCTTTCTCTTGCATCCTGCCTCGATGCCTGGCTGGGCAAGCACGATGATGTAATATGGGTACATCGACCCGTCGTTTCGGACTGGAGGTTCCATTCCATCCCATATCACCAAACACATATCAATAACGACCTGAAGATCAAAGAACTCGGTTCCGTCAGGCTTCTCCTCTAATAATGTTGAATACCCTCAAGAGCAGCCTAGAAGGGCGCTAGAAGGGGCTGGCTTCATTCCCAGAAGCTCTTCTCGAATTTGGCACGTAAACATGCCATTCCGCTCTCAACTCCGTTCCTCACAGCTAACTTGGAGCAGAGCTCGAAGAATACCAGTTACCTACCATTCGAAGGCCACAGACGGCACAAACGGAGGCCAGTCTGGCAGCACGAGATTCCCGAGAGCAAGAGACACAAGCGATCTACCAACGATGGGCGCCAAGTAATACGAAGCAGCAATGCCCAACCAACGAAGCAACGGTTCAACGATGCTCACATCACTCCTCATACTTGGCATAGCACTGCATATGCACCCCACGTGCGAAGGAGGGCGCGGTAGTCCAGCTGGCTTATCGCATTATTCGTCACTGCACCTGCATCTCTTATCTCGGCAACATTCCTCGCCTTTACCTACTCACACAACGCGAACCAGCAGAGCCTCCGAGACGCCAAGACTCTCCGCCTGACACCCACTGCAACTCATCCCACGCAGGTGTTTGTTGGGCCAAGCCTGGGAATGTGAGCTGATTCCCACCCCCTCAATGATTCCCATTTCCGGGGCTGAAGCCCAAGCTGGTGCGGCCGCGGGACACGGAACCCGCCACTGTGTGCGGTGCATCCGGACACCGAACCCGGGGGCGCCGTGGACCCTGACGGAGCTGATAGGGATCAGTGGGACGCATTGGCCGCATGAAGTGCCACAACGTACTATGCCGTTATTGGCATGTACAGCCGCTGCGATTGGTCAAGTTCGAGAGTTATGTGACGGTTGATCCAAAGATACAGGCCACAGCACACTCAACTGACGATCTCTAGGATACCTGACCCAACGACAGGGTTTCGCCAGCCTGCCTTTCCCCGCACACCGGCTGTCTTCCTCCATCTCCTTCTCCCGTCACCAAGGCATGCTTCAGTGAGGATGCTTCGCTCTGCGGCATCCGCCGATACTCCTCAACCATTCAACCACGCTGTTATGAATCAGGCCGCTTCTACAAGATCATCCTCTCTAGGTGGAGGCGAGCGGCGTTGGCTAGACCTGCATACCCGTACACACCAGGTCGGGATGGCCACCACCAGTCCTGATGCGGTACACGAACACATGCCCAAATCTCCACGGTCAACGGCCTGGTCTGTTGCTTGAAAGCTGCAGCCCGGGTCACCCCAGCCCGCCTCCCCCTCATCAACGTTTACGCCGCCGTCCTCGTGCCACCCACTATTACGGCATATCTCGATAGTTTGAATCTCATCAGCATGGTTCTGGCTAGTGTTGAGGCAAGCCAAGCCGGGTATCAAAGGTAACTTGCCCGCATACTGTCGGTGCAAGCAGCATGGCACGCCTAGCTTTCCCCTCTGCTCCTTGCTGTGCGGGCATCGTTGATGGTCGATCCGCCGTTCTCGTCGTGTTCAGTGCCTCGCCCTTGTCAGAATCAACAAACATTGTAGAGACTCACTCAACTACCGCCACCGCAGAGTCTCACAGGCGCGCGTTGATCCAATGCCCTGTGCCTATCTTTCCGTGCCTATCCTCAACGTCCTTTATCTCACAATTGCTACAGTCTCAAGGTTTCTCAGCTATCTGCAGACCATCCCGCGCAGGAGTTCCTTGACTCTCTCCACAGCCTCCACCCCCCCCCCCCCATCATCCCAGTTCATGGTCTCACTCTCACTCTCCCTCGCACTCACTATCTCTCAGACTGCTACCTACCTACCTCCTCTATTGTGTCTAGTGACACTCCCCTATCTACATAACCCCCAGCTCCTCTCCGCTCCTCGCCTGGTCCCCCTTCCGCTCCTCTCCTCTCTTCATCTTATCGTAACACGCTTTGGATAGGCTCTCACCACCAAACACTGTTTGACTTCCTACCAAGACAAGGATAAGGATCAAAGTCCTTTCTGCATCGAGAGATCCTCATCTCGAAGGCCCCAAGAATAGGGGGGGCAGATCTCTGGACAAGATCACAGCCGCGAGCTGTGCTTTGTTACTAGACTGCTACTCACTGGTCTCGACCAACATTCAATACCAACATCCATTCACATGCTCTCAAACTCGCAACACGATACTCCTTCAATCAACGTCATTTGACAATCTGCCTGACAACATCCGCCCACCAAATATTTTTGCCCGTTCATCGCATATCGCATATCGTGAAGACACTGCTGTCTCCCGCGTCTTGCTGACGACCCCATCCCTCAAATATCGAACTTCAACAACCAGTCTACCTAGCCAAAGGACGTAACCCGTCAAAATCATTATTGATGTCGGTTGACCTTCGTACAAGCCTCAATTGCCTTCGCCATCCATCCAGGTTTATGCCCGTCTCGAGAACACAACTCTCGAGAGACCATACGGGTGATAGTATACAGAATTTAAGTACGTCGGGCTCAAGCTCACTACTGACGATCCACCGCCAGAGAGAGATAGAGAGGGCTGTAATAGCGCTGACAAGAAAACCAAACAGATTCGTGAATAAGACAGGTTCTCCTCCTGTCGAAAATTGAAGCCCGTCATGGAGCACGTAAGCAAAAGCGTCACCCTTGTCGAGCTCAAACGTTCTCTCGTGCCCCCGAAATGGGAGGATACCGTGCGTGTCATTGGCATGTCGGAGTGCAAGGAGGCCGGCCTCTCGCTGGCCCACGCCTTTGCTGCTGATGATCTTAGCCAGTATCTCCTTGACGCCGACGACATGGCGAACCTATCGGTTGAGTCAAAGTGGAAGCTGCACGTGGACATCATGACCTACATTGCAGCCGCTCACTCTCTCAATGGCATTGTCACCACCATTGGCGCGGATTACGATGCCGTTGCGCTGTGGTGAGTCTTGTGCCTCAAACCCTTCTTGCTTGGCCCGTTGATGCATGGCATCTCATGACAATCTCCCGCTCGCGAGACATTCCCTGTTGAAAGGCAATATTGGACTAACATCAGACGGATCATGGTAGGATGCCTCCTGGAAAGGACACTGACGGATGGTTGACCATCCTCCGCAGTGGGTTGTGGCGGCTATATTTCCAGCTATCGGTGGAAGCTAGACGTCGATACTACGACGAGCTGCTGCCTCTGCTGCATGACACCAAGCTGGAGGTTATGGGCGAGCGGGACAATGATTGCTACTACCTGGTCTACCTAGGGACCAAGCCCAACGCCCGGGGCAAGGGGTATGCGAGAAAGCTGCTCAGCGACATGATTGAGAGGGTACGTTGATGATCGCCACATGTGTTCTCTTCAGACCTATCGCGTCTGGAAAACAAGATTCAGCAGAGGAGCAGCATTATATCATGGATGAGCCCTAACTGACTCTCGAAACAGGCCGACGCGGAGAACCGTGCCGTCTACCTCGAGTCCAGCTCTCTGTCCAACAACGAGTACTATCTCAAATTTGGCTTCGAGTTCAAGCGCGAGATCCGGATGACACGTGGAGACACACCAGTCAGCCTCTTCATCATGGTTCGCGAACCATGCGCGCACAAGACTGGGGGAGGTCAGACGTACTCGACTGTGGTCTCGAGCAACGTCAAGTTGCAAATCAATGCCGTGATGAAGGAGACAGTTCGGGTCTGATTCGGCGGGTGGTGTCGAAGTTGTGAGCATCCTCCATCCTTCCTTTCGACTTGGAAATTGGTGATTTGATGTATGTGTTGTGCTTTTTTATTTCGTATCCGGAGGCGGTGTAGTGGTGCTTGCCTCTTTTTGTGTTGACGATCCCTTTATTCATGGCGACGGTCCTTGTGGGCAATGCTTGCCACCTGTGTCTCATGCTGACCACAGCTCGATTTTTCAACATTGACCTGAATGGGCGCGTCTGGTTCAACACCGGCGCTTATGCGTGCGAAGCTCACTGTCGCCACTGCAGCAGTGATGGAATAGCGTCTTTGTCGATTTTTACCAATGTTTTTGGATTTCGTCCTTTTAGTTTGCTTGTATCTACCGACTAGCTCTAGCCATTCATTAGAATACTGACCGATTCACTCATTTCAATCATATCAATGGTTTGCGGTTCTTCCGCTGGTCCCACTCCCCTGTTTAAGGCCTCAATCGTGACAGCGTACCAACGAGGTTGCTGAGAACATGTGTGACTCAACACTCCCGGTAAAACCACTCTTGTGAGCTTTTCCCTCTGTCCACGGGACTTATCCTCCCTGCTCGGCAATTCTCACATTTCCCTGATGCCTTTTTCAATCCACATCCATTCTTGCCTCAGCACACTTCTTGGCTTTCACATCTAGTAGTCGAGGATAGCCCAAGTCTCGTCGTCAATGGTGGTGTAAATCAGACCCTGGGAGAGCAGCTCGTCCGCCGCATCTATCGTGGCCCGCATAGCCAAGCCCGCACCGCTCGAAATCTGATTCAGGTGCACGCCCTCGTTGCCGCCGGGGGCATTGTTGATAAAGTTGAACATCTTTTGTGCGTTCGCCGAGACGCCCCTGAGCTTGGAAGCCTGCGCGGGGTTGCCGCCGCCCGCCGCTGCACCACTACCGGCGCCGTACCCATCCCCGCCGTCGACGAACATGCCGTCCTCGCCTCCTCCTCCGCCTGCACCGCCGTTCGCCGCGGGACCGCTGCCGTCGGCGTTGAGGGGCCCCTTTGTGAAGTAGAGGTGGACGTAGGTGGCCTCGAGGAGGTGGTAGTTGACCTCGTTGAAGTCGGTGACGGGGCGGATAAAGTGCGCGCCGACGTGGCGTTTGCCGTTGAACGACTTCAGGCGGCCCCAGACGCGGACGTGGCCCTCGAGCTCGAGCTTCTCGTCGGCGTCGTCCTTTTTATCCGTGTCGACCCATTTTTTCACTTCAATGAGCCCCGTGCCGTCGTCGAGCTTGAGGGTGATGTTTGTGGGCTGGGGCGAGATTTGGCGGATCTGGGCGACGAAGGTGACCTGGGTGACGGTGGCGCCGTCGATTTTGAAGTCGGCGCCCGGGTAGGCCTCTTCGGCGTCAATGACCTGCTTGATTGTGACGGGGCGGAGGGATTCTTCGCTGTAGGCTTTTCCGCCGCCGGCGCCTTGGGAGCCACCTGCGCCGCCTTGGGAGCCGCCGTAGACAAAGCCGCCTGCGTCGTCACCGCCGCCTGCGCCGTACGAGGTTTTTGTGAAGCCGCCGTATGAAGCTGTGTGGTTTTGGGTAAGTGATTAGTTTGAGGAGCTTTAGAGGTAAAGGTGAAGGGGGAAATGGGGTTGACGTACTCATTGTGTCTGTGGTATCTCTGAGGGGGGATCTGTGGGTTGTCGTGAATATGCGTGAGGTCGACGGCGGGTGGTGTTCTTGGGGGTTAGAGAACGACGGGATGGTGGTTGTGGTGGGATGTGATGATGGTGGTGGTGGTGAGGTAGGTTGGGTGGTTTTGAACGGGAACGCGTCTTTTTGCCTGGCGACGCGACTGGGGGTTTAATTGATGTGCACGACGTGCAAAGTGCCACCCGTGGAATGTTGGTGCCCCGCGTTGGGACCATGACTGGATGAAAGCTGAGGGTGGGGGGCTCTGAAGTCGAAGATGACATAAGCAATAGATTTGACGTACCTTAGTGATCTGTGCTCAATGGCCCCGGTTATCGGGAGCCGACTGACATGAGCTGTGGTCGTCAGTCGAGATAGATAGGTTTATACGGTGACGGTGAGTGCCTCTTTTTACCGATACATTAGTGAGTGATCAAGGAATATTGAGTCTTAGGAGCTAAAGTAGTGATGAGGTTCTGTGAGATTGGATGCATTGACATGAGTGAGTCGCAAGTATACTGATTGTAGATCCTTGATTCGTAGATATCAACATGTCATGATGTCTGCTAAATAATCTTCCCGGCCCAACACATGTCTCTACCAGCAACTTTTCAAATGTATCAGTAGACACTGCGACCACTGCAGTGACTCTCCGAACCCGAAAATCTGTGTCTCCTATCCATTGCACAGTAATAATATGAATCACATGAATTCTGAGTGTCAAAGCACCTCAGTCCAGGTGAGATTCCATGAGATTCTCTCCGCGTTGGGTGACCGGTGTGGCGGTTGTCACTGCTCCGATTAGCCTCGGCTGACGGCGATTGCGGAGGGTCCCGCACTAACAGGGCCCCCACAACGGCTTCAACAACGACTGGATCACTGGAGCTGGGCCGCCTGGAGGATGTGGCCCGACGCCTGGAGTACCGCGACCAGGGAGCTCCTCCTCCTCTTTCTCAGGACTTTGGGGGTGGGCGAACGTCCAACGTTGGCGCCGGCGTTGCTTCTGACATCAACCATCCCAGCACCTCTAAACCCAAATTCCCCTTTTGCCTTCCAGTCTTTCATCTTCATTGTGACAACATCCCACCCATCGGAGCCACGCCATTGAAGTAGCATTTTCTTTCAACTTCCACCGTATTCCCATACCTCGAAACTTGTCATTTAGAGCACCCATCTCGCTGTCCGATATACCCTCCCCATTGCTATCGTCACCGTCGCTAGGCAAGGTGCACGTAAATCAACAGTCAACTCGCACATCACACGACATCACCAGAAACCGACTCCCACATGGCGCGATCTCAAACGAAAACCCTTCCCGTCATCCCCCTCGCCCGCGGCACTATCCTCCTGCCGGGCGTCGCACAGCGCATCCCCGTCACCGCCGCCCGTCCCGATATCCCCGCCCTCCTCGCCAACGTATACACCCGCGCCGCCTCTGCGGCCCCGAACGAGCGCATCGACTCCGTCCCCATCGCCTGCGTCCCCGTCTCTTCCCCCTTCGTCGGCCCCAATGGCCAGCTCCTCATCCAGGATGCCGACCAGATGGATGAGTCCCTCATCAAAGAGGTTGACCCCGGCACCGCTCGCAAGTCCGATCTCTACAACTATGGCGTAGCCGCCCGTATCACAGGCATCGAGGGAAGGGGGACCGCCGAGTTCGCCCTGCGTGTGGAGGGCGTCGCAAGAGTTCGGGTCGAGAAGGTCACGCAAGAGAGGCCGCACTTTGAGGCCAAGGTTAAGTACTTCCACGATGAAGGTTCGTCTGCCTCCTCTGTCTGCCCGACTCGTAACAAACCGCAGGCGATCGCTAACGAATCGCGCAGTCACGACGGATGCCCAGATGCAAGAACTCTTTTCCCTCCTTAAACTTCGATCTCGAGAACTCGTAACGATCCTTCGCATATCCGCACTCCTTCCCAGAAGCCCAGACAGTCCCGGCGGTCTGTCTCCCCTGCTGACGAGGAGACTCGAAATGTTCATCAACAAGAAGGAACTCAAAGACGCTGGCCAACTGGCAGACTTCATGGCCAACATTGTTGAGGCTTCATACGAGGAGAAACTCGAGGTCCTCGCGGCCCTCGACGTCAAGGTTCGCCTTGCCAAGGTCATTGAGCTTCTAGACCGACAGGTCAGCGGGATCAAGAACAACTTCAAAATCACCACCTTCACCAGTGTGCCCGTGCAGTTCCTCGACAAGATCAACGATAAGACATCACGCCGTGTCGGCCCCAACGGCGCTCCGCTGCCACCCAACACCATGTTTCCTCCCGGCCCCAACGGCGTCATGGGCCCCAACCAAGACGACGACCAGGAGCCCAACGAGCTGGAAGAGCTCAAGAAGAAGCTGGACAAGGCACAGCTCCCGCCTGAACCCGCGAAGATGGCGCAAAGGGAGTTGAGGAGACTAAAGAAGATGATGCCCGGTAACCAAGAATACCAGGTCACTCGCACTTGGCTGGATGTGCTCTCCGAGATTCCCTGGACCGCTACCACGGACGATAGACTGGGACCCGACACACTCGCGAGAGCTCGCAAGCAGTTGGATGAGGACCACTACGGCCTTGATAAGGTCAAGAAGCGTTTGGTCGAGTACCTGGCCGTGCTGAGGCTCAAGCAGTCCATCAACGACGACGTTGAGGAGCAGATCAAGCAGGCAGAGGCGGAAGCGGCTCCTCCGGCCGAACCTGAAAAGGAGAAGGAAGAGGACGCTGAGAAAGCGAAGAAGGAGGAAGCCAACGCCGAGTTGGAGGAGCGCGCGAAGCTGGCCAACACCAAGATCGAGGTTCTGCGATCAAAGCGGATGGTTGATCGGTCGCCTATCATGCTCTTGGCCGGCCCGCCTGGTGTTGGCAAAACCAGTTTGGCAAGATCTGTCGCCATGGCACTGGGCAGAAAGTTCCACCGAATCTCGCTTGGCGGTGTCAGAGACGAAGCTGAGATTCGTGGTCACCGCCGGACGTACGTGGCGGCCATGCCTGGCCTGATTGTTCAGGGGCTACGAAAGGTCGGCGTGGCAAACCCTGTCTTCCTTCTCGATGAGATTGATAAGTTGGGCATGTCCAATGTTCACGGCGACCCGTCTGCAGCTATGCTCGAGGTCTTGGATCCCGAGCAGAACAACTCATTCACGGATCACTACGTCGGTCTGCCCATCGACTTGAGCAAGGTGTTGTTCATCGCCACGGCCAACAGCCTAGACACCATCCCAGCCCCTCTCCTTGATAGAATGGAAACAATCTATCTGCCGGGATACACGACGCTCGAGAAACGCCACATTGCCATGCAGCACCTCGTGCCCAAGCAAATCCGAGTCAACGGACTTTCGGACGACCAGGTCAACTTTGACAAGGAGGTTGTGTCTAAGATCATCGAGTCTTACACCCGTGAATCAGGAGTTCGTAACCTGGAGCGCGAGATTGGCTCTGTCTGTCGCGCCAAGGCTGTCGAGTTCGCCGAGGCCAAGGACGGAGGACAACTCGGGACTTACAAATCACAACTCACAGTCGACGATATCGAAGAAATCTTGGGCATTGAAAAGTTTGAGGAGGAAATTGCCGAGAAAACAAGCAAGCCGGGCATCGTCACTGGGCTGGTGGCGTACAGTTCGGGCGGCAACGGTAGCATTCTCTTTATTGAGGTTGCCGACATGCCTGGAAACGGTAGCTTGCAGCTTACCGGTAAGCTGGGAGACGTGTTGAAGGAGAGTGTTGAGGTCGCTCTATCCTGGGTCAAGGCGCACGCATACGAGCTGGGTCTGACGTCGGAACCGGCCGCGAACATTATGAAGGACCGGAGCATCCATGTTCATTGCCCTTCGGGCTCGATCCCCAAAGACGGTCCCAGCAGTGGCATGGCGCAGGCCATTGCTCTCATTTCTCTATTCTCCGGCAAGCCTGTACCTCCTACAATGGCCATGACGGTATGTCTTTCCTGAGTGACGAAGTGGGTGACCATCGGAAAACCGGTACACTGACACAGCATTCTGTACTACAGGGCGAGATATCCTTGCGCGGCCGTGTGACTGCCGTCGGAGGCATCAAGGAGAAGCTCATTGGCGCCCTCCGAGCGGGTGTCAAGACGGTGCTACTCCCCGCGCAGAATCGCAAGGATGTTAAAGATCTCCCCCAGGAGGTCAAGGATGGCTTGGAGATCCTCCACGTCAAGTATGTTTTCTCCCACCCCCTCCCCAAAGTGTCTTGCATTTCTGTGTTTCTCTCGCTTCCTGAAGTCGTACCACCCTCTCACCAACTGCCCCTTTTCCCACTGGCGTCGTGCTCCCGACGCGGTGATCCCTTTGCCTGCCGCTATGGCCCCTGGTCCTGGAACCGTTCTTCAAAAATGTGCCGTGTGACTGACCTTCTTGTCCTACTCCAGTCATGTCTGGGAGGCCATCCGACTCGTCTGGCCTGATTCCCAGTGGCCTGGCGCGGAGCCCTACCCTCCCATCGAGAGCCGATTGTAGATTGGTAAAATAGGGGTGGGGGTGTATGTGATGCTCCCCGAAGACCATGCACGCCGCGAACACCCACTTGTTCTGTATTACTCAACATCATCACCACTACCATCATTTTTCTACCGAGCCGACCTCTCCTGCCACGACTGAGACTGTATGTAACGAAAGGGAAGGGAAGCGGCATTGCACACACTGGGTAGTATGTCCATTCGGTTTCGTTTCGGCGTTTTTATAGGTGTCTCAAGGCGTCGCGGAAGATGCGTTCAAGACATTCAACTTGTCCCGCCGCGACGTGTCAAACAAAGTCTTTGTTCATAATGAGTGTTGCAAAAGGATATTGCTACGTGTACATGTTTCTTCTTGGATCAGTTCATAGGTTCTACAATGGCATTCGCTTTTAGAGACTCGAGTACCATTAACCGCGCGTCACGTTGTAGTTGACTAGCGCCGCGAAATCGTATGCAAGTGTTGCTTCCACGCTGCTCAGTGACAGGGTGCCTTGTTGTGTGTTTTGCGATGA